AGAGTTCTGTGTATCAGTTGTCATATTTCAAACTTCTTTTGATTTTCATAGCTATATTCCTTACAATGTGAATTAAATGCTGTCAAAAGAATTAATATAATGCAAAAGATGAAATGGACCAATCTTTACACTCTTCAAATTTGTGCAATTTAAATGAAAATCTATGATTATGATAACACACAATACAAACATGTACAAAATCTTCCTTCCAGAAATTGGAAAATGGAATAGCATCTCCTTCTTCCTTGGTATCCCTGTGTGCATACTGACACGTATCTACGAGAAGATGGATGAATCACATGGAAAGAGACCAGAGTTTCGACCTTACTCTCATATCCGCATCAGGAAAAAGGTGAGAGATTACAGACATACAAACAATACACAAAAACACACAGAAATCAAATCAAATTGAGAATTTCACTTTTTACTGGGAGAAAAATTCAAAAAGAAGCAAGAATTTCACAGTAGTTTAAGACTTTTACAAATCCCAAATCAAACAGCTCTTTGAATTAACAGTTTGTGTTTCGTTTCTTAAGTTAATTTAGCTTGCTCAAAAGTTGTTCTTTTGTTCATACTAGACTTTTCTTCAAGGATTTTACAAATTAAAAATGAACTATGGGAGAAGGGAGGTTATGGGTGAGAAAGATATTTCAATTTGAATATTGCAATACCGATAATGTCTTCAAGAAAACCACTGTCACATTGGTTTATGTAAGAATTGCTTCTTGAATCTTGCTTCTTGAATCTTGATTGATGAACAAGCATTTTATTAGAGAAAGGATTCCAGGAATGATTTTGAGATTGTGTTTCTGTGTTCCATCCAAAACCAAGAAAAGCTTCAGTTATTGTTGCCATTTTTCAATGAAATTTTTACAAAGAATGATATGAAGAAAGAATACTCCACAGCAGTCATTATATGTAGGTGATAAGATTTATAATTGTAATTCTACCAGGTACTTAAATGCAATTTCTGACTTTTAGGCTTTCCCCTGGGAAGGTGGAGAGGAGAAGACCCTGTTTTATTGTCCAATCACAAATGCGGGCTCACAGGGATACTTGGAGATGACCCCCGAGGAAGAAATTAAGTGGTCAAAATACATGCATGGACACTAGAAAAGAGGAAAAGACACTTGTGATAAAAATTCTGTGGACTTTTAAGTCAAATAAATTGATTTGTAATGTTAAGCCAGTTCCTTGTTCATGGTTATAAATGACAATTAATCTAATCATTACCACTATCTCTATATGATACATTAGTAACTGCAAATGATGATCTGGGCATAAGAGATTTGATAAAGGTTCTTTCTTACAATTTATATTTTGAACAAGATGTGTTCAAAACCACTGATACCCCTGTATGGTAGCTCATGGCAAAGAACGTTTCTCATACACTTTACAAGTATATATGCAAATTAAACCCGCCAATAAAAATACCTGAAATATGACAGTTCTAGCTCAAACCCACTGGTGAGTAGTTTCATAAAAGTAGAATTTTTCCACTTTCTAGCATTGGTCAATTAACTACCTTTCTCTCCCTAATTCTAGGCACATTATTGAACTAATCTGTGTATTTTATCCATCTCCAAACCCTTTATAGTCGTCTCTACAAGTGATAAACTCGCTAGATTAAAATTATTTGTTAGATTGCTAAAAATTCACTTCATGTGAGGTTATTGCATGTAGAGACTATAAATGGTTGGGAGGTGGATAAAATAAACATATTGGCTACAGAATGCGTCTAGAATTAGGGAGTGTAAGGTAGTTGATTGACCAATGCTAGAAAGTGGAGAAATTCTCCCCAAAAGTGCGCAAAAAATATTGCGCCGTAAATTGCACCTTTTTTTGCATTACGGGATCTGTAGCGTTATGGTCAAAGACAAATATATAAAACCCATAACGCTACAGATCTGCAGCTAGGTCAAGTTCTGTGTTAGGTACGATCGAATCATCTTTGACAGAGATATGCCCCTTGGATTAAAAAAAAATTCCAATTATTTGCAGTTTCCGTTCCTTTTTTTCTCAGATATTGCACAAACTGAAATGAAATTTGGTATACAGATTTATCATATGAATATCTAGGTCAAGTTCTGTTTTGGGTACGATCCAGCAATTTTTGACAGAGTTATGTCCTTAGGATTTAGAAAAAATTCCAATCATTTGGGGGAGTGGGGCATAGGTATTTTACAAATATCTCGTTTCATTTTGACTTTTTGCTCACTGCCAACTGCCTTTGCTTATAGGCGATATCGCTTTTCATAAACTTTAATATATTTTATACGCATGCATGAATAAACCCTATGATAACAAGAATATTACAATGATAGCAAAAATTGACAGATTCAAGAATTCAGAGTAAGAAATACATAGGAGGAAGGAATATTTCATTTTTAAAAAAAACCCTCTGATTTCCACATTTACTTGCAGGTAAATAATTCAAAAGCTTTCTTTATGGAGCAGAGAAAAGGCTTAACGTCACTGAGAAAAATTGGGAAGGGGACAAACTTTTATTTAGGATCTTCATTTAGAGGCATCTGGATTTAGAGGGGGTAGAATTTTTCGATATTTGGCTTATTGAGCGTCTGATTGAGAAAAATGCAGCTAGGTGTCTGTGATTCATCGAAGAATTCATTTTTAAATTGTATTGTTAAATCTTTTACCCTTGGTTTTGTTATGTTTATAATTTTTCAGTGGTATTTCAAAAATACATATACATGCACCAACAATTAAATGTTGGATTTATCAATGCTTATTTAACTACTCCAATTTGTATATTTAATCATTATACATGTAGTTCTAGAAATCACGAATGATAAATTTCCTTAATGCTCCAATTTTGATAAATATTTTAAGAACTACGCACACTAACTCTCATCTTCGCTAGCCAAGGGTTTCTGATACGCTACTCTCCTCATGAACATGGAGAGTACGCGTATCAGAAACCCTTGGCAGGCGCGGATCCAGATTTTTTTTTTTTAGGGGGGGGGGTTCCACCCCGGTCAAAAAAAATCAAAAATTTCTTGACAAGCAAAAAAAAAAAAAAACTAAACTCGCCCAAACGTCAAAAACCTATTTCGTGGGAAGGGGGGGGGGGGTATGACTTCTATTGCCTCCAGTCTTTTACTTTTCATACCTATTAACCTTGTAAATTCCAGGGGGGGGGGGGTCCTGATCGACCCCCCCCCCCCTCCAGATCCGCGCATGCTTGGCTAGCGAAGTTGGCTAACTTTTGATTCACGCCTTAATTTCCATGGCAACGGATTCAAAAATAGGGGAATGGCTTCCAAAAAAAACTGACACCACGCAGACCAAAACGTCCTATGAAAAAATAAAAATAAAAAACTGTACAAATCCTAGAATTTGTCAATGCTCAACATTACCCGAAGCAACTAACCAAAAGGGGGGGGGACCACATTCCAACATTTACCAAAGCAAATTACTCCGAAAAGTCAGTGCCCCTTATTTCATATGATATGCAAAATTTGTTCAAGAAGATCTAACACTTGCTGTTTATCATTAGGTAGGGGTAAAAAAAAAAGTATATAACGTCAGGTGCCTGTGACCTCCAACTCGACATTTAAACACTGAGTATATCGACGACGCATTGTGGTTATTTCCATTCATATGTCGACATGATTTATATCGGTTAGCTTGAAGTAAAAGACACCATGGAGTCTGACACAGCTGGTTCATACGATGAAATAGTATTTGTATATTTTACTTGACAAAGACATCAATTAAAGAAGGTAAACAACAATGCCTTATGATAAGTGCGATGACTTAAACTTTTCAACTTCCCTTACTTATGCAGTAATATACCCTTTACATTATCATCTGCATACTGGGTTTATATACGCAAGAGGCATCTTCGCTAATTACCAAGATGCGCAAGAGGATGCTCTAGTATGTATGAACAATTTCTAAAACGAGGCAAGAAAATTATTGACAAACAAGCTGATGAAGACAAGATTATCAACAGTTTAATTTAAAGTCGTCATTTCGTTTGAAAGTTCTATGGTCGTAAAAATGTCAGCAAATACAATCAATGGCCATCATTAGGTCAAATATGCTGACTGACGTTTTTATTCAAATTGTTAGGCCATTATACGCACCGAATTGAGGACGGATTTATACGATCGTAAGGAGCACACAACAGGAGGGGGTGGTGGTCGGCAGGGGATGCTCACTCCTTCATGACACCTGATCCCACCTTTGATGTTGCAGAGGTCAGCATTTGCTCTACTACAGATTTATAATTGTTTAATGGAGTTTTGAGCTTTAAAACTGCTTGTTATTTTATATATTTCATGCTGTAGCTCTTGTCCTCCATCCCCATTTTATTTCAAAGCTGTGAACTACATGTAAATACAGTTCGCAGATATAGGTGGTGTTCTAAATATCGTGTAAAAAGGTTATGTAAAAAAAAAAATTAAATGTTTGCCTACATCGCCTTGTGTGCTTTCTCTAACACACATGTGCTGATGCATTGGCTTTTTATCTACACACAATGTCAATTACAGAACATTTCTCTTATAGTGGCCAGAGAAGCACAAAGATGTACCATGGACACGAAGTCTATGGAAGACAATCTTAGCACTGCACGACCAATTCTGCAAAAGACCGAAGTGTGACAACCCCTCTTGGTATAGGCAGGCTTCTTTTATTTAAAAACTTCCCCGTCTGCTGGAAGCCAACCTTAGAAGACAGCAGCACACGTGGGGGAAGTTAAAATAAACGTCAGGGTTAGAGGCATGACAGGTCGCCATGCTTATACCCAGAGAGTGACGAGAAAATTAGATCCCGATGTTATAGAAATATTAATTCGCAATTAGAGTTATTGTTCAAACTTCATCATAGAAAACACGATATTACTTGACCAAAAAAAGAGAACAAACAATTTCGTTTAGATCTAAGAAATGGCAAGAAACTTAAAAAAATATTGTTTTTTTATGTCGGGATCGGGTGAAAAATACATATCTAAGGGAAGTAATGCAAGACAGAACATGGCGGACGACGGCGTTTTATTTGCCAAAATTTTACGTCAGTTTGCAAGATCATCTGCAGCAATCAATCCAGCGCCAGAGGATAAGGTGAAAAAAGATATTTTTGCATAGACAGAATTTTTGGAATGCCCTATACCTTTTCATTTAACCATAATAGATCTATAGGAAGCTACTGACCAGTCGCATAATTTATAAAATTTAATGTTTCGTCCAATATGATGAAAATCCGTAGTTCCTAGAAAGTTCAAATAGTTCACTTCTTTATATTTACACATCATTTGAATTCAATTATTTTTATATAGATTTTTGCTATGACACTTAATCTATAAATTGCTTGTTCATAACCTGAAAGTTTAAAGAATCTTAACATCCTGCACATATTTTGGTAAATAAACATGTTAAAGGTAACGTCAGAAATCAAAATGAAAACTCATTAATGGCCTTATATTAAAATTTCTTGATGAACATTTGAGATATTGAAATGTTTCACTTCTAAAATCCAAGATTCTTAAAACTGCTTCAGGTTTTAAACAGGCCATTTGCAGATGAAGTGTCATACCATAAATCTATTATTTATTAGGGTACAAGATGTGTAGATGTACACAATAAAAAAGAAGATGTAAAAAAAAAATCTCCATGTTGGTTAACTAATCACTATTATTATGTTAATTAAACAATTGGAATCGACACACTTGATTCATACAGTAAAATAATATTTGTACAACTATTTCAGATTGCCCGGTTATTTTCATTTTGCCCCAAGGAGATTAATGGCGGTTTGACACTGGACCAGAGGGGTCAAGATGCAGTGATTTCCCTTGGTATATTCCTGCTGGAATCTGACTTGCAGGTAATACAGGCATTATTAGATGACCTACCCCGGTAATAATGTATATCTTATAATTAGTTTAATGTACAAAAAGTTTTGTGTGCTTGTTTATGCATGCCTGTATGCAATAATCAGAAAAATAACATAAACTGTGATTTGTTGTTTAGAATAAAGACAAGATAGCACCATATTTGCTGAAAGTTTTGAGATGTCTGCCAGCTTCACAGTGGAGTGGGAAACATAAACCAGGAAAAGGACAAAGTTAGTGATTTTATTGTTTTTATCTACTATAGAAACACAAATTTTCATGGGGATCAAATTTCACTGATTTGTTATCTAAAATGGTTTCGTGAGCTTTAAATTATGTCCTTTCGAAAGTAACATTATTCAATATAAAGTAATATGAAAATTTCGTATGGGATTTAATTTTGTTGATAATTAATTGCAAAAAACAAAATAAATGATATTAAATCCACAATGAAATTTTCTTTTTAAAAAAAGGATTATCATATAGTAAAAAAAATTATGGGTGTCAAAGAAGAAAACACTGTTAGTTGTATAAATGGTTAATATTTTCTATGAAAAAAGTACCGATTAACACCCTAATCCCCACCCTACCCACTGCCATTACATTTCTAGCTGGAACAGCCCTTATTGACAAACATAGTATGATGAATTTCATTGTTTTATTATTGTTTATTAATGATTCAGAACAAACTTTATATGTGGATCAGTAAGCAGACAATAAGTCTAAAAGTTATTTTGTTAATTTCTAGCATTACCAAGATGTGAAAACTTCAGCTTTTGTTTGAATACAATACTAAGTGACTTGGCATTCAAAGATGACAACTTGAGAGATGAGGTAAATTATCAAGGAACTTGAAGGCAGAACTTGAACTAAGTTCTGTATATACCAATGTGACATTTTTTTTTTACTTCATCAGTAGGGAAATAATCTATGTATTTCCTTGTCTTTGTAATAAGTTAATCCCCCAGTTTTAGTTTATGGTTTTAGTTAAGATATTCTCATGTTTTGCAGGTTCTCAGTACACAGTTAGATGTCCTGGAAGCTTTAATTAACAAGTGTGAAGACACAGATAATTCCAAAGAAGGTTGTTATGGTATTTTAAAATTCATATGCTGTAAAGATGTGTAATTTTGATGAGGAAAAATAAAATGAATTATTATTACTGAAAATTAAGTAAAATCAAAACAAGCCTAAGTTACTTTCATACAGTCTGACTTGTAAACTTTTTCATTACTATAAAAAAATTAAGTAGATATTAATTTCTAGGAAAATCATATTGAAGTAAATCATTTTTCTTTTTTTTTTTTCAGTGAAGCTCTCCTTGATAATTATTCCCCTTCTGTTTGGTTTGATTCGAGCCCTGGGCAGATCTAGTGATGGGATCAAACCCCTGATATCTTTACTGTATCCATCAGAATCTGTCCAGAAGGAACACGGCACACCTAAAGATGACAAAGAGGAAGAGGAGGAAGAAAAAACCTTCACGTTCCGCTCGATCCTCCCCCGCACTATCTCCACTCACCTCATCTACTCTGACCCCGTCTCCCCTATCACGCCCACGGGAGGGAGCCTGTCTGAGTTCCCCACGATGCGGTACAGGGAGCGGTCCCCCTCTCCCCTGGGGGTCCAGACCCCGGTTAAACCAGGCCAGGAGGAGGACGTGGAAGCCTCTACCTACTACTTCAGTAAGATTGCCTCCAGCTTTACTTGTGTAAAGCCCTGGGGATTTGAAATCATCCCAGAAAGAGATCACTTGGTTTTCTCCCAAACTCAACTTCAGCGACTTGTATCTCTGGTAAGTAAATTAGTGCATGTTGATTCTTTACATAATTTAAATTCAAATGACATGTATATTTTGTTGTGGTTTTACTGGTCAGTTACATGTATGTTACATGTAAACAGTAAATGGCCATAAATAAGCGAGGAATCATTTCATTTTTTTAAATTTCAGACAAAGAGGTTGCTCAGCAAAGAGGTTTTAGGGAATGTCAACACAGCTTTTACATGGATGATCAGTGTTGAAGTAAGTTGAAGTCATTTGTAAGGAATATCTAATACTTCATTGCTAAAATTTTTAAAATATTTCATCATCTCTGTGATTCAAAAACTTCTTTCTTACTTTTAACTTTACTTGAATTGGTATTCACCCTTTATTTTCTTTTGGTTCAGTAAAATTTAAATGATAATTAGTAACTAGTAATAAGAACTGAAAATTTATTTACATGTATAAATATATGTATGTATATGTATGGATACATGCTTGTATTTTATAACCATTTGAATTGTCTAAATCGTCTGATGGTTTATGAACAGAATGGTAAGAAGTACAGTTGGTGGCCGTACAAGTCTTACAGTGAGGCGGTCACTCTGTCCACGGTCACCATGCTGAGGGACATTCTGGAGCAGGAAAAGGGTAAGTCAGGCTAATGTAAAGGCAGCCAATGTACTATTATAATCCAAAAGATGGCTTTATAGCATTTTTGCATGATAGACAATGTTAAAAGAATAAAAACTTTTAATTATTTACTTAATTTAACAATAAATAGGTATGTGAGAAATACTCATATTGTTTTAAAATTCACACACTAAATATTCATTGATACATTTATATATCAAGGATTTAGATTGCACTCATATATGAAATACATACATGTTTATACTCAGTTGTCAAATGCAGTTAATTTATTTAAATCTCCATTGTAAATTGTAGACATGCCAACCAGTTTTATGACAGAGGTGTATGAATTTTCCAAGACGATGTATTCCTCTGGACAGAATGACCTTGACAAGCGGGGGAAGGGAAGCAGAGAGATGGAGAAGAAGACAGATTTCCACACGTACGAGATGATGGTGCTGAGCTGTGCTGTCTGTGTAGATCTCATGTTCTGGGCAGTCAAGGAAGAGAGAGGTATGGCTAGTAACTAAATAGCACCAATTGTTGAGGTTTCCTTTACTTGTGAGATCTACAATTCATCTTTTTCTCTGCTTCAGAGGCTGAGAGTCTGTGTTTACGACTGACAGAGAAGATTAGTACAAATACGGAGAGGAAGTTATTATTGTCACACACTCCATTACTTCTAGTGGCTTTAGAGGTACAAATCACTTTGTCAAGAGATTCTCTCATATTTCTGAAGTACACATACATTTTATGTAAACAATGTCTAACTGCTCAGAGTATCTGTTACAAGTAATCTTTAGTTCTGTCACTTAGGCAGACTATGAGGTATTCAGTATAGGATATCCTGTTTCTGTATGTTAGTCTTTAGGAAAACTGGCCATCAAGTTTCCACTGTTAGCCTGGACCATGTGCTGCACTCTTCGAGATTTTCTGGTGAGTCCCTCTCCCATTCTTAGTAAACTGAACAAATACGCCTCAGTGGACAGCAGGAGTAGCATCAAGATCACGGTCACAGATACCGGGAAATCTCCAAAGTCTGGCCGCAGAGACCAGCCTCAGAGCAAATTACTCAAGGCTTTAGAAAACATCAGAGACAGTGCCATCATCAATGCCTGCAGGTAGAGTACTGAATTTTTCATCAGTTTTATGTAGCTTTTAAATTTCATGATGAAGCAAACCTAAATGTTTAGTTCAAAGCAGTGGTAGTTACAGTCATTGAATATGATGTATCAGGAAATATTTTATAACGTACTGCATGTGACAAATCGCAAGTAAATGTAAAAAGAATTTTATTTTGTTTATCTTGTTTCAGGGCCCTGAAGGCTTGTCTGGAGGTAGATGAAGACTGTGTCCAGGCGTTCATGGCTTCCATCTCAAACCGTTTATACAGAGCAGAAATGTCAGACAGGTATTACATTGATTATCTTTGATAAAATGTACAAGATTGTGATGAAAAATAATAATATTTATAAGAATTGTTTGTATTTTCATATGTAAGATTAAGTACATGTATAACAGTAATTCGGTCCTCATATAATTGGTACATGTACCTCTTGTGTGTAAATTGATTATTGAAATGGACAAATGCAGTTCTCGGTCTTGGTTGGTTAAGCATGAAATAAATGCTGTATGGTCTCCTAGCTTTATCTGACTTCTATTTTTCTGTTGCATGATGTATAATTTATACGTTAAATCTACATCATTCAGTTTGATGCCCCTTTGATACTTAGGGAAGCTCATTCTTGACTTGCCTGCCTGTCTGTCTGTAGGTTTCTTTGTTTGAGGTCGGTACTTTCTAAGGACAGCTCCCAGTCAGTGTATAAGCTTTAGTTTTGACCATAACTTGGGTTTGTAATGGTTCCTGCTTTATATGTCCAGGTTGTGGGCCACTCTAAAATAGCACCAAAAACATGTGATGTACTCAAGCTGAATTTTTTAATGTTCTAGTAAACTTTAATATCTCAAAGGCAGCAGGACTGTCACAAACTTCAAGATGTCCAATAGTTGACAAAAAAGTAAAAAAAAAAAAAACTTGATCTCACATTCAGTAAACTCCTATTAATAAATCCTTGGTATTCTGTATCATGGCTTTAAAAAAGCGGAGTTCATCTTAAGCTTAGATACAGGTACTACATCTGCACCTTTATAATAAAATAAATTCTTACATCTATGAGATTTACTGTCTTTTATGAAATTTAAATTCAGAATAAAAACTTGTATTATTGCAGTTGCCAGAGATATAAGGGAACATAATTTTTCATTTGATAAGTAAAAATTTGAATTCGAAACTGAGCAGTTAGTATTTTTCCAAAGGTTTCAGGCCCTGAATCTGTCCATGTATGAGTATTTTCGACGACTAAGGTATTAGATGGTTTTAAAAATGTTCTTATGTTCAATTGATTGTTAGTTTTCCAGTTTATATGACTCTAAGGTATTGTTCCTTCTTTGAATTTGAATGACTGAATTCTGTTTTATGATCAGCCTTTTATCAGCTCACTCGAGTATGTGGCTCAGATGAGCTATTCTAATCAAAGTTCGTCTGTCATGATTGATCTATGTGTAGTTTTCATGGTAACATCGAGGAAATAATTTTTAGCCGGGCTTATTGCTCAAAGAGCAATTGCCGGCTTATGTGATCCTGTTCAAGGCAGGATGTTGACCCCATAGTCGCCATTTTAAATTTACGTTCAAAAATATAGTTCTTACTCTCAACCGCTTTTGAGATAATACAAACGCTAAATAAAGCAACAAAAATAAAACGAAGTTTTATCTATATAAAATAAACATTAGTAGTAATGACTTTGAAAACTTCCTGAGTCAAAGAACATAGTTCATTAGCGTAAGGATTTTTGATAATCAGTATTACCGTAGTTCTCTACACATATGAGGTAAAGCAGGAGAGGGAACCAGACTGGCCTGTTTGTTTACATTCAGCTGCGGTACCAGATTAATTCTGATTCTGACAAAATCGGACCGTGGTATTAGGATTGAAAAACTCACTGTCAGTGTCTTATCATTTATATTGATAGTTTTAAAATAATTTTTTAATCAGAATATAAACGTGATTCATGTAAGAAATCCATTCTACTCTGTAAATGAGCCCGGCTCTCTGTACTTCTGAGTACTTTGATTAAAAAGAGGTTGTTCTTTGGAGGAACGAAACCTCTTAAGCAAAAGTTTCCTAAGTTAGTATAGATTCAAGTTAGTTCAAATCTGTTCAGTTGTGCTTAATTGGGGGTTGGGGTTAAGTTTGTTTTTTTTTAATTTTACAAATAATCTATCTGCAAGCATTATAATATCATTTGTAAAGTTAATGATTGTAGGCTTCAGTTTAATATGGTTTTTGCAGTTTTACATCGAAATATATTTGAAAATTTAATAGAATTTTTTTTGTACAGTATAGTTTGGCAAGGTGAATATTTAGACTAAAGCATGTAAAATTAATAGAACAATCTTCTTTCTTTGCTACTTGAAGAATTTTCTTTATTTGGGGGCACATGAAGGGTGTTTTTAAATTTTCATTTGACAGAATGCATACCCGTATGTCTTATGTGAGCTTTGTGGCACATGGGGCCTTTTATTACCAAAGTTTATAAAATGCTATAAAGTTTTATTCTTCCTGAATCCTGCAGGAGTGGGAAATCTGCAGAAGAAAGGTGGAACCAGTTGAAACTGGTTATGAAATTCATTCGACCGTCATCTGGAAACCTCGAACTGCAGGATGTAGAGAGGCAAAGCTAATTTATCCTAGAGATTTAGATATTGCACACTTAACTTTTCATAAACCCTGGCGGCAGTGTTTTGTACACACTGTGTTGTCATATCACTGCTTTCAGATTTTATTTACAGGTTATAAAATTAATATGGTGGGGGATGTTGTGTGTGGCTTTTAATTCAGTAAATAAATTAGATGCAACTTTTAATCAAATTAAATGTACTGGTAATAGCATCTTAGAGTATTATAAGCTTACTAAATTAGAGAAAAAAGGAACATCAAGGGTAAAATTAATTAGACTAGAAAAAAGAATTTTTATTTGAAAACAAATTAATCTGACTTTGATATGAAATGCCAAATTTCATTTTCTTTAAAGCATTTTCCTCTTTGCAACAAACAGAATTTTAATTGAAGGGGTATTTTCATGGTAGAGAATTGATAACTTGATTTACTAATACCTGAAAAGGAAAATAAAACCAACTTCTTTCTTAGTTAGAAATATAAGGTGCTTGTTTCTTTACTTACAAATTGCTTGTCTATATGGAAATATCTTTGCTTATGCATGTAATAATGTTATATTCTATGTATTTATCAAGAAGTAGTCATTTTTTCCTCTCAAGAAGTATTCTACTGTATTTAGATCATCACTGTTAGTATTAAGATGCATGCATTAGTGCTTGAAATACTCTGTTGTATGCTAGTGAAGTTTATGTTTTTAATTTTTGTTTGGGGTCACTTTCTTTTGATGTGCTGTGAGATTGAATTTAATTTTGAATGCAGTTTTTTTCTATGGCAACTGATAAAAGCTCTCAATGATAATTATTTTCTTTCATTTCTTTTGCATTATTTTTCTGTACTTTTATTTGGCATGTTATGCTGTATGTATACATGTGATAACATGTGACCCTCCTGTATAAATTCTGACGTCAGACTTGATGTTATAACAGGGAGTCTAACTTGATCTCCACCAACACGATCCTGACCCTGGGGCATGTGGCAGTGGCACTGAAAGACACCCCCAAGACGGTGGAGTCAGTCTTACAGATCTTCCAGCAGCGGTTCTGTTCCCCACCCTCACAACTCGACGTCCTGATTGTCGACCAACTCGGCTCCATGATCATCGCCGGATGTGTAAGTGTTGAAAAAAGGATATACAGTATGTGGGTAGTTTTCCTACACTGTTTCTTTTTATTTACTGGTATTGAATCTGACAGTGACCTTGTTGATGTTCAATGCTTTGGTGTATTTTAAGTTAACTGTACCTACCCCAGTAATTAATGTGAAATTTTGTTTGGAGTGATTTTTAATGTTTATGTATTATTATTTATAGACCACTGTGTACAATGAGGTCATGAAGATGTTTGTTCAGATCAGTATAGAGAGTAGTTCTCCATACAGCTCAGGGGAGAAAGATGAAAAGATCAGAGGATACAGGTATCGTAAAAGTGGTTGTATTGAATTAAAAGGTGGAATTTTCTTTTACAGACAAGTTTGCCATACTGTTATTAAATGATAATGCATTTGGCTTTTGGCAGACAAGTTTCCTGCTTTATTGTTCAGTGATAATTCATTAATTTGGCTTTTTCAGCCTGTTATTTATATAATAGTGTTGCATTATGCATGTTCTATGCCTAAATAGTAGGCAGGGTTTGACACATGGTGCACGAGCCGGAGGCGAGTGCACTATGTGTCAAACCCTGCCTACTATTTAGGCATAGTACATGCATAATGCAACACTATTGTTATTATTATGCTGACTGTTGTAAATATTTATGCGCAATCCATTTGACTTTTTCCTGAAAATATCGGTGCTAACACAGCGCGCTTGCAAGAACTCATTCAAAATCTTCATGCTAAAATTCGTTGCATGCTTAGTTATTTTGGTTACTAGTATTTTTTCTCTAAATAAGTCGGGATTTTCTGTCCCAAAGCAACTCATCTTTATTTTCTGTTTTGTTATTTGTTTGCAGACGTCGATTCTCATTGATAATTTTCTTTACATCCTTCAATCAAGCGTCATATAAAAAAGCGTTTTAATGACCCTATGAAATCAGTTCATCTAACGATCTGTATGTAATTAGTTTGAAACTTTGTTGTATACATTAATCTAAAGTTCCTTAGAATAATATAACTATTTTCAAATAATATTTGTCTATTTTTTCCTTCTTGTGTCAATTGTATAAATTAAGTTTATATATTTAATAAAATACCCCTAATCTGTGATCGTCTCTGTGGCTTAATCGATAATGCATCGGACTGACAATCTCATGATCGTGAGTTCGATTCCCGGCGTGTGCATCGAAGAATTTTATTCAGTAAATAAAGCCGTGCACTATTTTGGCATAGTATGCTTACGCTATATAAATGCTTAGACCACTATGCGAGAATAGTAGGGTATGGGTTATATAGAGACAAACTGACAGGAAGCATAATGATTAATGATAATGCAGTAATGATTTGACTTTTGACAGACAAGTCTCCCAGACGGTGATTAACGCCCTCGCTAACATTGCCTCCAATGTACAGGGGACAGAGGACCAGAATGAGTTGCTGGTCCGACTCCTAGAACTGTTTGTCAACATGGGACTGGCTGCCAAGCGAGCCAGCGACAAAAGCTCCGGGGCCATGAAGGTCAGTCTGATATAAACAGACAATAATAGATAAAATAGAAAAAAAAGCTCAGGGGCCATGAAGGTCAGTCTGATATAAACAGACAATAATAGATAATTTAGAAAAAAAAGCTCAGGGGCCATGAAGGTCAGTCTGATATAAACAGACAATAATAGATAAAATAGAAAAAAAAGCTCAGGGGCCATGAAGGTCAGTCTGATATAAACAGACAATAATAGATAAAATAGAAAACAAAAGCTCAGGGGCCAAGAAGGTCAGTCTGATATAAACGGAGAATAATAGATAATATAGAAAACAAAAGCTCAGGGGCCATGAAGGTCAGTCTGATATAAACTGAGAATGATGATAATATAGAAAAAAAAAGCTCAGGGGCCATGAAGGTCAGTCTGATATAAACAGACAATAATAGATAAAATAGGAAAAAAAAGCTCAGGGGCCATGAAGGTCAGTCTGATATAAACAGACAATAATAGATAAAATAGAAAAAAAAGCTCAGGGGCCATGAAGGTCAGTCTGATATAAACAGACAATAATAGATAAAATAGAAAAAAAAAGCTAAGGGGCTATGAAGGTGAATCTGATGTAAACAGACAATAATAGATAATATAGAAAAAAAAAGCTCAGGGGCCATGAAGGTCAATCTGATGTAAACAGACAATAATAGATAAAATAGAAAAAAAAAAAGCTCAGGGGCCATGAAGGTCAGTCTGATATATACAGACAATAATAGATAAAATATAAAAAAAAGGCTCAGGGGCCATGAAGGTCAGTCTGATATAAACAGACAATAATAGATATTGTTATACCCTTATAAGTATCATTCTATATATTTATTACTTATAAAAAGTCCAACAAAAGAACTGTTAGTTACATCGGTCTAACAATTTCACTATTGACCGGTCTTACATA